TCCTTTTATAGGATATTCCCCTCTGCAGGCAGAGATGTTCAAGGTCTTTTGTCTCAAGATTATCATACGAGAGTTGTTCACTCATTGTGTCTAATCTTTAACCTTTAAAACCCCTCAGTATCAACTTTAAACTTTTAATAGTGCTGGGTTATGCTCTATAAATCTAATTGACCTGCAGAATTCTGCCAAGGCTATTCATTTGTCAGTGTTCAGTGAGGCCCAGGAGCGTTGGCATAAGCTGGCACTGGGTCTGCCAGCATCACAGTAGGGTTTCAGAAGGATGACTCCCAGGACAGCGTCAAGGTGGGGAGAACAGCGTAGTCTGTTAATGGAACTGTGTGACCTTCAGGTGCCTGAAGTGAGGCAGGAGGGCAGAGGCGTTCTCCTTTGGTCAGGGGTCCAGGGATATGGGGGAGGGATTGGACTCAAAGATCAACACACATGCAGAAATGGTGTACAGAGCAGACTTAGAAGTGGTGGCAGTAGCCACTAAAACTACCCTGCTGGCCACTCGAGGAATGGGTTGGAGAGATCTGGGGAAGAAGGTTCCTGTGACTGATAAGAATAGGGTGGAGGCCAATGGCTCAAGCTAGCAGCCCGCAGATTTAGATGGCAGAATGCTCTCTTCAAGGGACAAGGTTTTGGAACAAGCAGTAAAGAGGGAACAAGAAGTTGTCCATATGAAGATGAAAGATGCAATTGATAAGCAGAGCACTTGATATTGGAGGAGGAGGTGATGAAACTTCACCGGGAAATCCTCCTGCAGAAATAGAACACATCTTAGAAGGATGAGAAGTTTGGGACCCTGGAGGGAGAAGTTGACTGCCTCCCCCGCCCCCAAAAAAGACAGGTATGTAACAGGGTATCCTTCCCCTTTAAGGGCCAGGAGACATGGGTCAGCCAGCCCTTTCATCTATCAGACTCAGCTGGGAAGGTAGGTGATCCCTCTGAAGGGCTGATAGAGCTCAGCTGAAGGGCAGTTCTGAGGGAGAGGGGTTCGGCCCTGTGTGATAGCGGCACAGATTGAAAGACCCCTGGGCCCCTGCAGCCTGTGTTGTTTCAAGGGAATAGCTTTATTTTGTGTTACTCTGTGAGGGTTTTTTTGTTTGAATTAATAAACTGTGCTCTGAGGAAGAGACTTGGGCATGGCCTTAGTTCCCCCTGGGTTGGGGGAGAAAGGCCAGCAATTTCCTACTAGCATGTTCCAGGATTGGGGCCTAAATAGAAACAACATGCAAGAGGAGGTTGTTAGAAGCACAATCGAGGGCGAAAGACAATACAAGGATGTCAGTAATACGAATGAAGTGTAGCACATATGTCATGTCTTGGGGTTCAACTCAGACCAGTGAGAGGTTGTGTCATCACCTGTCCTGTAATCCTGGGTGCCTTAAATGCTCTGTTGCAGTGGCTCACGGCCTGGATACCAACAGTCGGCAGACATGTATGAAGGTGGGCGCTGTAATTCATGTTTCATAAATTATACAGGGCTATATAATGCCATCAATTTTTAAGCAAAGCTCCTCATCGAATCACTGTGGAGTTTTACTTAAACATTAGTGGCATGATATGGCCTGCTGACAAGAAGCTGTAGACATAGTAATTAAAGAAACAAGCCCTGAAGCATGCAAGCTGGCACTATATACTCCACAGCATCTTTCAAAGGAGCAAAGTTTCAAATGATAGTCCCTCAATTTAACACTGTTGCCAAATGGGTTTGTTTTTGTTGAAACACCATATCAGAAACCTATGAAATTAAATATAAACATCTTGGGGCCCTTTCTGGCCTGAAAGAACAATATTCCTAGAGCTACAGTCACACTACTGCAGATGGATTAGGTCAGCATTTCTCTGATAGGTTCCTATTTGCAGGCATTGATCATTCCTTCTCTGTTAAAACTGAATATAGAAAATATAAACCCCAGGGAACCCAATGCATATAATCTTAATACAAATCGTTTCTGGCCAGATTTGAGCTATGAAAGTACCAAAAGAAAAGTTCTTGGCCTCAAGCAATGGGTACTGTGTGTGATGAGCACTTCTGAAAATCAGGTCTTATGTTTTAGGATTTTTTTTTCTTACAGAACTCATCTCTTCTCTCCAGGCTTACTCTCCCTCCCTCCCCAGAATCTATCAGGTCTTCCTGGTGCACCTGTTGGAAGGAGAAGATCTTGAAGAAACTTTGCTAAATGTCCAGTTTCAGAGTAGCAGTCGTGTTAGTCTGTATCCGCAAAAAGAAAAGGATTACTTGTGGCACCTTAGAGACTAACCAATTTATTTGAGCATAAACTTTCGATGAAGTGAACTGTAGCTCATGAAAGCTTATGCTCAAATAAATTTGCTAAATGTGTCCATTAGTACTTGACAGCTTTTTAGTTCTTACTGGTTTTGCTGTGATAGGCATTGTTCTTTTAGCCACACCTATATTTATATCTATCCATTTATCCATCTATAGTTACCTGAAGTCTTTGTACAATGCTCATCACCATATACAGTATAACTTTGTAGAATGCACCCGTGTAAGAACAGCAGGGCATATGAAATTGAGATCTAGTACCAACAGGTACTTAATATTTTCAAATATCTATTATTCCTGAATTACAGGTGGGGAAACTGAGCCAGGGAGGGTAAGTAATTTGCCAAAGACAACGGAGAACATGTGAGTGGCCGAACTGGATCAGAACGTGGAAAACTTCCTGGCTCCAGTTGGGTACACAGTCCGCTAGACTACACAGTCTCAAACGAAGTTGTGTTTTTTTGCTTTATTTATACCCTCAGTGTTGTAACAGGAAACAGAATCAGAATCGTTCATAGCAAACCCATTTATTCTTAATCAAGTGACAGTATTGGTGGGTTTCCTGTGAGGCTAGTGCTTATTAATAACATCCCCAAAGTTCTGTGCACTTATTAAAAAACAAATGCTGATTAACAGTGTCACGGGGATTCATAGATTATAAAGCCAGAAGGGGGTCACTGTGATCATGTAGTTTGACCGCCTATATAACACCGGTCATATGACTTCTCTGAATTAATTCCTGTTTGAACTGGAACATATCCTTTAGAAAAATATCCTATCTTGATTTAAAGATTTCCAGCACAAACCTTGGTATATTGTTCCAACAGTTAATTACCCTCACTGTTAAAAAATTGTGCCTTTATAATAGTCTGTATATTTGGGCATCGTCTACTGTATTAAGAGCACTGACCATTCTTCCTGCCCCTTTGTTAACTCTTATGTCAGGGCAGGACTAAGGAGAATGAGGTGGCCCCTAATGGGGCTGCAGTGGTTGACACAGATATTTCCTGTTTCAGAGAAACTTTGAAAGAGCTTATAATAGAAACTTCATTTTGTCATTTCAAAGGTCTGAGTTTCTCTGAAATTGGGTTTTCAACACCTACTTGTCTATACAACTCCTACAAGGCCTCTGGCCTGGTCCCCCTCTGACGCCCTTCTGATGCTCTAGCCATGGTGGCTTCTGGAGCACAGCTCCATGGGCCCTGGGAGAATGGATGCAGCTTTTACTTAACCTGAATGGTTGCAGTTTACAAGCAAGCTTAGTGTCCTGAGGGGAGTGGAGAGAAGGTCCCATAGTGGAGGAAGACAAAGGTGAGTTCTGTGCTTCTGCATAAAGTGAGCCTTGACAGCATGGCAGGTGGGGAAGTAGGGGCAGGAAGTGTGCCTAATCAATGAGCATGGAGTTGTCAGTGTCTGAGATGAAGGGAGCTGGTCTCTATACAGGTCTTAGTGGCTCAATATGAAAATGGCATTTGCTTTATGGGGGAGCTGCTGAGTCTCAAAGTGCTCTTTATGAGGAGTGCTATGTTGACTGAAATTGGCAGGGTGTGTGTGTGTGTGCGCTTTTACAGCTCTCCAGCTGCCTCTTGGTCCAGATACAAGGAGTGAGTTCTCAGCCACAGGATGCTGTCTGTGCTCCTAGTGAAAACACTTGAAATTAACTTAGTATGGAGACATTTAAAACACTTCAGATTGGTAGTATAGTTTCACCCATCAGTGCATAATGGGAATCATTCATGTATCCCCGCTGTGCATTAAGGAAACCAGGCCTTTCTGTGGAATTATACAAGCTCACAACGTCATACTTTTATTAAACTCTAGCTGCTTTTATTAAACTCTAACTGCAACATGCAGACTTTGGGCCACATCCTCAGCTAGTGCAAATTGGCAATGCACCATTGAATTCAATGGCGGTGCATTGATTTACACCACTCCTTATACTTGTGGGAGGCAACATATGTTAATTAACAATCTGTCGTGAGCAGCTTGTGATATTTGCTACTAGCAATAAGGTCCAACTGCTTCTACTACACGTTGCCACAAAAATGTGCTGATGTGTTGCACAGCTCTTTGAAAGCTAGTGGTGGGTATATTATTAAACTTTTTAATGAAGAGCTTCGTTTAAAAGAATTAATTTGCACCTCCAGCCAGCACAGCAACATGATTTTTCGATATTTGGCAAAGGGATCATTTTAAATATAGTAAGCTTCATAGTAAAAAAGTATATATATATATTAGAAACTGCCATGCTGCGGCTACAAAGAACATTGGACCGAGACAGCTGTTTAATAGAATGCAGTGTACTGGGTTACCAGAGCAAAAGCTACAGTGATGTTAAATCTCATTTCAGAAAGCAGATTTAATCAAAATGATCAGCGTGTATCAATGCACTGAAGTAATTGTGTGAATTGATGTTCTCTGCTGAAATGAGTAAGTTATTGAGGATCAGGTTCTGCCACCCTCATTGACACTGAGTAGGATCTTACTCTGTGAGCATTCCCAGGGTGTTTGTGGAGTAGCGACCTATCTAATGTGAACAGAACCTGGCCTTAACTTAGGATAGGTTAATTCATTTGGCAGTATGCAAACACAAGAGAAAAACATCATAAAACCCGAACTACTTCTACCTTTATTTTTGTTTTTACTGTATTTTACGATGCAGAGAAAGGTCTGGAAAATCTTTAAAGGACAGCAGATTGATACGCACCCAGCTCCAGACACGGTTGCTGTCAATCGGAGAGAGGGAGGGAAATTTATTTATGCAAAAAAGTAATTTCCTCCTTGCAGTCTCCTCTGTCCCAGCTTCCTTTTATCAAATCATAGGAGAAAGAAATAGAAAAGACCTATTAGTTCAGCTTATCACCTCTACAAATCAGATTTTCTCCAATGCCACATTAGAATTTAAATATTATAGTGACGGGTGCTTTATAAATATCTAAAAGATGTTCTCTAGTGCTGGGCCCAGCTTTGCAGAAAGAAAGGAACCATAAAAAAAAATTATATCTTTACTATCCCAGACCTGAGCATAAGACATGTACATAAGTGGAAGATTAAGATCATAGGCATTCCTGCCTATAAACAGCTTAACCATGTTTACTTTTGTCATGACCCCAGATTTCCTACAACCCAGTCTCAGATACTTGCTGAGACTACCAAGCTTCTCTCTAAAAAGGGGCACCCTTCACCCTACTCCCTTGTTACAAGGACCTGGTATAGCCCAGAGTGGTGGCATGAGGGTGGTTCCCTGATAGGTATGGTACCTGTTTTTTGACGGCTGCTGTAGAAACACCCTGTTTCCCACAGCTCCACACCAGCCTGAATTAATAAACTTGTAATTTACTATTTACTGTTTACAATTAACACCTATGAATGAACTCCAATTTTGGCCACCTGGCAGTGTCCTTTTCAAGCCCTGTAAAGTCTTATTTTATACCCCAGTTCTTAGGCTTCCTTTTCATAAACCCTGGCATCTGATGTTTTCTCAGTCTGGTCTCACCACCACCCTCTCGGCAGCCTCTGCATCCCTGAGGTACCAATCTCTGGAGTCTAGAGCGGCCTCTCTTGGCACCTTTAGCCAGCACGGACACCTCCAGCAGGCAAGTCTCCATATTCACCACTCCAATGGTCCTCGTCCCACTGCTGACTTTTGAACCAGCATTCTGGGGTAACTTCTAATAACCCAGTAGATCATCACAGAGTCCTTGGGTTTCAACCACTATCTTACTTTCACCCACATATTTTAACTCCCACATGTCTCATACCTAAAATAATATAATCGTAACACATACCCTCACATTCTCCACAACTTTAAACCACAGCTTTAAAGTATATCCTTTAGTCATATAACCCCATTAGACCATTCAGCAGTGCATTACACATAACAGGAAATTACAGCAAATTGAATGGATATGAACAGAAAATGAATTATACTTCACCTGAAAGACAAATGGCTATACCCCAAAACTGAACTATCTATAATTTGCCAAGGGAATGACCCATTTCAAATGCAGTCCTCAGATATTTTCTTTTCTTTCAGCAATAGTCAAAGAGCCAAGGTCCTTATTTCCAAGATATCCACTTTACCAAAGACGTCTCCTAGTTTTGCAGAATATAATATTACTGCTTAATCTCTATTGGTCTTTTCATTATAATAGGATATCCAGACTTAAGTGGAAGAGAAATGAGAATAAAAAAAATTACAATGTATGTGATTCTTGTGTTAGCTTTTTCAGGACACTCCTTAAAGATGTTTTGGTAGGAACTTTCCATGAAGAAGACTTCACTTCTTTCACATAAAGATCTAGTAGTCATGGATTTGGTTTATCTATATAATCCAGGCTTTGAGTATCTCCCTGCATATTCAGAATCCCAACAGCCTATGTGTTCAGATTGCACATTTGGGCTTTCAAGGTTTCCTTTTTTTTCCTCTTCATATTTAAAACTATCTTAATTGTCAGCCTGGTGCAGAGGCATTGGATTCAATAACTGATGTATTGAATAAGCTCAAACAGATCTCGGGCGAATCCAGGTGGTGGTCTATTTCTCCAGGTATCCATATAATCAATTATGGCAGTTGTTTCCCCCACTAGAATCATTAAAGTACTCTGTTTTAGTAGGGAGAAATTAATTTATCTCCCTAGAGGCTTTTCCAGTCCTGAACTAGAAGACACTGGCTGTAAGGAAGGGGACATGATGAAGCCTGGGGAGTTGTCCTGAGCCATAAAAATCCTGGCCTGTTTATGAACTCATAGATGGATCATAGAATCAAGAAAATAAATAAAAGTATGACCACTAAGTTTGCTATCTGCATCAAGTGAGCTCAAGGTGATGTATAGCTACTGCCCTACAAAACCAGGATCCATCCTTTCTCGCGCAATTTCTGATTTTAAACTATTTTTATGAAATGTACAAATTGAGGACAGTTCTGCCACACTTGCCAAACATTTACATTCAAAGAGTAATAGAGAACAATGCAAAATATAACCTTTTATCTCCAGTAGTGATCTAGGCATTTATAGTGCACTCATCACATGGCATCTGAGCACATTCAAGAATTACATGGGTCCATGATATATTCTAATCAGTGTTGATTGAACATCTATATGGAAAACTAGAACTTACCTATGTTTTCAGGTTTTTCACTCATTATCTTTCTGACTGGAACAATAATATGCTTTAGGATAAAATCTCATAGATAGACTCTAGCATTACTGAATAAAAAGGTTGACAAAGTTTATCCATGAGATCCAAACTGAGGAAAACTATAAAAAGAAACACTCAAAGAATGTAGGACAACTCTATCTTCTAGATAAACAATAATGTGATAAAGTGGACAGTTTAAGCAACTTGCTTACATAAACTTATGGAGTAGCAAAATCTCCAGGTACAGTTTGGGGAAAGAATTCAGCTAAATAAATCTAACCCATTGCAAATGCCAGCCAAATTGATGCTTTTATCATCTGAAGTAAAGCAATGCAATGGGTGATAAGCTTCAGTGTGAACTAATGGTGTGCTGCTAAACATGTACAGTACTTGTGAACCCTCCTGTTCAGGAGCATTCTTGTGGGTCTCTTCCAATTTGTGGGTCTCTTGTGGTGTCTGAAGCTCAGAAATTTTCGATTTCTGTTATTCAGAACTGCTGAGCAGTCTTCTCTCCAAACAAAGTCAATGGAAATGTCAGGTGCTCAGCAGTTCTAAATATCAGGGCTTTTTTTAATTATTATTTTACAGTTGTGGTGATGCAAAGGTTCCTTATTGTTTAAAAATTTGTACAGATGCATATCTGTCAAGAAAGTCAAAAATTGTTTTGATGAAAAGCTGTTATCCAATTTTCTGAATGTCTCTTTCTAAATTAAATACTGAGATCTTTTTTTTCCAAATATGGTTATTGTTATGCCAAAAATGAGTATCAATGAAGTTTAATAATTTTAAGAGGCTCATTTCAGCTTTGGGGTTTAGAAAAAAAAAGGTTACCCTCTTAAATTTGATATTTCACATGCTTGGTTTTTATTAGTATTGATGCTCTGAATTGATGCTTTAAGAAAATATATGAATATTAACAGGACTATTGAGAAGCTTATTATGGCGATACAATAATGAAAAAACCCTCAGTTAACCACAACCATGATGAGAAACAATAGGATGGTTGATAGTCCTGTGATGATATTCATTTATTGATGTAATTTTCTTAAATCATAAATTAAGAGCACCAATGCCAATAAAAACCCTAATGTTCTAGTAAATATCAAGAGCTGTACATTCAATTTCAGCAAATAATCCAGCATCAGCATGTGGGAAACAATCATGTTAAGATGTGTTGTATTAATAAACTTCACTAATTTACTACCAAGACAAATGTGGTTTAATACATATTAATTTTTGCACAATGAAGACAAATAGGAACTGCAAATGCATAATAAAGATTAGCAGGAACAATGTTCCTCCTTTAGTAAAATTAAAAGCATTATCCTCTCAGGGGTTGAGGTACAGAGGAGGAAATGGAATTAAGTTACCTGCTATGTAAATGAAGGACTGTGCTGAGGTTTAGGATGCTACAGTACCTCCCAAATGGTGTATTGTTGATATGTCTTCATAGTTGAAATTATCCCAAGTTTTGGATCTTTAAGAGAAATAGGATGACACCATGCCTACCATCAGGGAATGCTGTTGTCATTGCGTTTCTCGTTTCCCCATGTACAAGAGAGAGATCAATCTGAATAAGTTGATAGTTGAGTGCTCAGTTCTGCAATATGCAGAGCCCATTGTGGGAGCTGCTGTGCATCCTCATCTAACAGTGAAGTTAATTTTGCAGAATCAGGCCCTAACAGTCTGAGTAAATGCATCTGTTTTTATGAGTAAGGCACAAGGAAAGTGCACTGAGAAATGTTTTAAGCATTTCTGATGTGTGGTATGAAATACAGTGCAGATTTTTACACGGGAGCTATTTTGTCCAGTACACATTCTTTAACACTCATATAATATTTGTATTTAATCAGCCAAAATATCCAGTTAAAGGTTTGTTTTAGTTTGCAGGTTAGTAAATAGATAGAATGTGTGGTTACTAGAGCTTTAAAAATATGATAGGTTAATAAAGAAGTAAAAAGAAGGTCAAGTAAGAATAAATTTAGTTAGAAAATATGGTATTTATTGCCATAAATGAATATTACTCATCAGCTTAGTGATCTGAGTAATTGCCAGAGACAAGTCAGTCTACAGTAACCTCTGTGATAATCTATACATTAAGCTACAAGTCCCCACATTTCTACTGAAAATTATTTTGTTGCATTAACATTATTAAAAATCAGACACATCTGTTTATTAATATTGTTGAGAAGATGACAAAAAGTTTGAATATAACAAAACAGTCTTGCCTCTTACCGTTCATTATACGTGGTAAAACATTTCCCTGGCTAATCTCTGCTTCAGAATTAGATACACTCTAGAGCGTAGGTTGGTTGCAAAATAATGTTTGTATCTGAGATAGCCCATCCATAGTGCATATCCTGTAAATGTATATCAAACTGAACCTCTCAAACATTTCACAGCCGAGTATCTAATCAGCTTAGCAAATCCTTCTTTGTCTGCTTTGTGCTAAAATTACCAAATAGTTTTCTTGGATTTGCTGATGAATGCAAATCCAATAAGAATGAGTCACGGGAGCTAGTAAGGTGATTTCTGAACTCCTACTTAGTACATTCTTCTTGTGTTTTCACAACTCCAGTAGCACTGCTAAGAGAACATTTCTTGGCCGGACCAACATTAGTTGACCACATTGTTTTCAGTCATATAGTACATTTGTTAGGATATGCAGGAAAGCAGACTAATTGGTCAAACATATAAATGAAGATGCAAAAACCTTTGTTACACTGCTTAACACAAAAACTATCCACTGTCATTGATCACATAGATATTGACTTTAACATAAAAAATACAGTGACCAAGTTAATAAATGCAAACTGTAGCTTGTGTAACCCATACACCTCCTCTAAGTGGTCTCGGTGCCACTAGAGGGGACAGAACACCACACCCAGAAGGTGTGTGGGTTACACTTGTATGAAATATGGGAGTAATATGGTAATTTAGACAATAGTCACCTTCAGTGCTAAGATGATGCTATATTGAGGGTGAAAATCACCCCTTTCTGCACAAAGGAGGAGTACTTAAGCTTGGTAGAGGGGATGGAATTCAGACCAGAATTCAGACAGGTTGCAACTTAGCGTATCCCTGGATACTGCTACATGTCTGTGTATGCACACACTTGTAATACACACACACACACACACAACTCATCAATACAATCCAGCTGTTTTCACTGCTCTGGTGCCTCAAAGCAGCCATAAATTTGTCTTAACTTCCCCCAGGAAGATTTTCACTATGTTGGGCAGTCTCTTTGCGGTGTAGAGCCATCCTAGCTGGTGTAGGGAGACATGAGTGTCTGGCTGGCTTGAAGTACCTTTGCCCCAGTCCTCAATTCCTGGCTCTTGCCTCATGTGCAGCTCTGCCAAACCAGACAATATCTCTCTCTCAGTACACTCTCTAACAAATATAAAACATACAGTGATAAAATAGCCAGATCAAAGCAATTCCTTGGAATCCATGTTTCAAAATTTATTTGTATATAATATATGCATTTATGTGCATGATAATCTAAAAAGGGATCAAGAAGAAAGAAAAACAGAATTCATCCATTTCTGGCACTCTGCATATGTAGAAAAAAGACATGGTCTGTACTCAACAGGAGTCTACAATGCTACACACACATTTAAGAGAAAAGTGAATAAGGTCAAAATATAATTAAAATAATTGATCCTACTTTATACAATATGGACACTAATTTAAATTGCAACTTCCTATAATTTTTTTTTTACAAGAAATCCCTCTTGTATCAAAATCTCCCAAACCATAGAGTTGATTTATTACCACCTACGTTGAATCCAATCCAGTGTCCATTGAAGTCAATGGCGGGACTCCAGTGTCTGTTGGAACAGGCCCTATATACATGGAATCAAACTTTTAACATGGATGGATCTCTGTTCTGCAATCAACCCTGCAATTATTTCATCATGCATAGTACTGGGAATGCAATCCACTTATCTTTTGAATGGGATAGATTTTTTTATTTCAGTTAAGCCATGCAAGGGTATTAAACAACTGGAGCACAGTGTTATTCTTTTCACTGCTAGTGCCATTATTTATGGTCCTTGCTTCCATAAAAGAAACTCAATTATCTAAACCTGTGTTATCAGAAACTCCTTGTTATTGGAAACAGGGTAATGTTCCCAGACGTCGATTCATTACATGGTTATTCTCTTGTTTATCTGAAACTTTGATTTTCAGACCTTATTTAGTGGTCCCCATGACATTTGTCTAATTGAGGCTGAACCATAAACAGTGTGACTACAAACCATGCTGAAAATTAGAGCAGTTTGCTTGATAAATCAATTGTAAATTAATATAGCTCCATTGGATCTGGCCAGATATTTGAACAATCTGCTTGGGATCCATTGCCTTTTATGCAATATTTTAAACCATAGTCAGTGTTGTTGAGCCTTTCTCCCTGAATTTGGAAGTACTTAAAATATTATATCCCAGTATTTGGTAATGACATTTTCATTTAAAGCCCTCTGATCAGTTAATTGCGGTTTAGGGTATGTCCGCTATAGGACTGCACTTTGCTTCTGGAACTAAATGTAGCATTTTTAAAATCTATTTATTTATTTAGGAAGTTTTAACAGGTTTACAAATCCTTGTCATGTAAATATCACAGACAAAATTATGATAATCACAAAAGAGAGCTTTTTTTAGAGAAAATTATACAGAAATATAATCCTCTGTATTCTGTTTAACAGGTTGATGGCAAAGCCAGCTTCTTTCCACTAGCTATCATGTTGTTTCTGGTCATTTTATTAAATTGTGCAAAACTTCTGATTATACACATTCATCACAGCATGCAGGTGTATCAAATGCTAGTGTTCAAAAAATTGGACAGGTGTGCTGGGGTTTTTTTGAAGGTGAATGTACTTTATCTGAGTGCTGAATAAATGGTAGCCATTATCTAAGTATCTATTTGTGCTCAGTCTATTTTGCTGGGTACACAATTGGTACATTGGTTTTCCAAAAACTACAACCTGTCATATTTTTTCAAAAAATTCCTCTAGTTTTAGACTATTTTTCTTCTTCCAATGAGAGGCTATCAGTAGCCTAGCAGCTGCTAGCAAACGAGATGTCAGTTCTTCATTTCTGTTTGTGTGACCATTTCCATTAGGCAGCCCCAGGAGGATTACCAAAGGATCATTTGGTAATAAATGCCAACAATTTGTAGTATTGGGCTACACATTTTTTGTATTCTCTTCAAAGCTGCTGGAGCCAGTCTCAGGGCTGCTCTAACCTAGGTCTATTAGTAATTGCCCTTCCAGTGGCATTACCAGGCAGACATGCTCCCCTTCCTGGAGATAAGAAAAATGGCAGAAGTGGGCATAGACACACCTATGTTGGCTTTACCCCATCTGAGGATTCTGCCACACTGGAAGATTCCCCCTGGTATGGTAGTTTTACAGCCTTTTGCACTGCCAGAGCAATGGACATGATCTGGCCTAAAGTTAGTTCCAAATTCTGACCAGATTTCAGAGAATGTTGAATCTGGGGTTTTATCTCAGTCCATTAGAGATTTCAATCAGCTGTGAATGTTGCAGCTCTCTGTATCTTTAAAAAATCTGAAGACAATGATCAATAATAAATTGCCAGTTGAATGCTCTGTTCATTTAAGTCATAAATCACTGTAGATGTAACAAGTTCTTTAACAGTCATTCAATAATGGGCCCTTTTAATTGTCTCTAAACATCTATGGTATTGAAAACTCCTATCTGCCTGTCTTAAATTCTATATGCCTTTTTTGTGTCTCTCGCATCTAATCTATGGCATTTCTATGGTGCCCACATACTCTAGTATCTGAGTGCCACCTAGTTTGCTTGTGTATGTAATCTAAATGTTGCATAAGAATTATATATATAAAACTCTTAATTAAGCCCAGTAATAAGTAAATATTTTAATGTTGAAGCATTTGACTTTACAGCTATCAAATCAGTTAAACAAATTTTATTTTTAATACTTATTTCTAATGATTTGTTTAATTGTACTTTGCAATTCTGGTCATAGCTTGACCTGCAGAGACATCTGCTGGGTGATTCCGAGATTAGAACAGCAATAGGCTCTTAGCACAGATGCTTTGTAATGAAATGCTAAACTATATTACACTGTTACACCACTACGTGGTGCCATACATAACAAACCTTAATTTAACTTCATTCAAATTCTGTAGTGTTTAGTTTACAGCCAGCATCTGCTCAGAACTGGCAGGAGATGTTTTTCCCAGTCCAAGATAGATGGTCAACTCAAGTAATGTTCCCTCTGATGTAGAGGGCCAGTGCAAGGCCCTTTGCACCACTTAGGTGACCTGTGGGATTGCATAGGATATAGAATCATAGACTCATAGGACTGGAAGGGACCTCAAGAGGTCATCTAGTCCAGTCCCCTGCACTCATGGCAAGACTAAGTATTATCAAGACCATTCCTGTCAGGTGTTTGTCTAACCTGCTCTTAAAAATCTCCAGTGATGGAGATTCCACAACCTTCCTAGGCAATTTATTCCAGTGTTTAACCACCCTGACAGGAAGTGTTTCCTAATGTCCAACCCAAACTGCCCTTGCTGCAATTGAAGCCCATTGCTTCTTGTCCTATCCTCAAAGGTTAAGGAGAATAACTTTTTTCCCTTCTCCTTGTAATAACCTTTTATGTACTTGAAAACTCTTATCATGTCCCGTCTCAGTCTTCTCTTCTCCAGACTAAACAAATCCAGTTTTTTCAATCTTCCCTCATCGGTCATGTTTTCTAGACCTTTAATCATTTTTGCTTCTCTTCTCTGGACTTTCTCCAATCTGTCCACATCTTTCCTGAAATGTGGCACCCAGAACTGGACACAATACTCCAGTTGAGGCCTAATCAGCATGGAGTAGAGCAGAAGAATTACTTCCTGTGTCTTCCTTACAACACTCCTGCTAATGATGTTTGCTTTTTTTGCAACAGCATTGTTGACTCATATTTAGCTTGTGATCAACTATGACCCCCATATCCCTTTCTGCAGTACTCCTTCTTAGGCAGTCATTTCCCATTTTGTATGCGTGCAATGGATTGTTCCTTCCTGAATGAAGTACTTTGCATTTGTCGTTATTGAATTTCATCCTATTTTCTTGAGACCAATTCTCCAGTTTGTCCGGATCATTTTGCATTTTAATCTCAACCTCCAAAGCACTTGCAACCCCTCCCAGCTTAGTACTGTCCATCAACTTTATAAGTGTACCCTATACCTTTATCAAAATCATTGATGAAGATATTGAACCGAACTGGACCCAGAACTGATCCGTGAGGGACCCCACTTGATATGCCCTCCCAGCTTGACTCTGAACCACTGATAACTACTGTCTGGGAATGGTTTTCCAATCAGTTTTTCACCCACCTTATAGCAGCTCCATTTAGGCATAGTTGCTGGAACTATGG